GTTGTTATGATGTAAACATTTTGATTATGATTATTTTGATTATGATGTAAACATTTTGATTATAAACAATTGTACCCAGACAACACAGTTTGATGGAAATTATTGTTACTATAGTATTACTGTTGTTATGATGTAAACATTTTGATTATGATTATTTTGATTATGATGTAAACATTTTGATTATAAACAATTGTACCCAGACAACACAGTTTGATGGAAATTATTGTTACTATAGTATTACTGTTGTTATGATGTAAACATTTTGATTATGATTATTTTGATTATGATGTAAACATTTTGATTATAAACAATTGTACCCAGACAACACAGTTTGATGGAAATTATTGTTACTATAGTATTACTGTTATTATGATGTAAACATTTTGATTATGATTATTTTGATTATGATGTAAACATTTTGATTATAAACAATTGTACCCAGACAACACAGTTTGATGGAAATTGAATTTTTATATGTCATATAAATAAAATAAACAAAACAGGACGGAAAAAAAGGTGCTTGGGTGGGACAGTACTTCTAAGAGGACAGGGATTTTGGCTACAAGACCAAGCCGCAGCCTGAATGGGATAGCAATAACCTTTATTGCACATATATATGGAAAATGGAAAATTGTGAGGGTTGGCTGCTGGCAGGCTTAGCAAGGGTAATATGAGATCCTGAGGTCAGGGCAATGGGGAAAAAGGCAGTCTGAGAACTGTCCGGCTTGCGAAAAAATTCCCACATGTAAAAAGTGGCCTAACAATGTGATTCCCATGACTTCCTATACTTTCCCAAAGAGAGAGAGCGTTGGGGTTTTATTTTGGTTTTGGCTACTTCAAAAGAAAAGCCTTTTCAAATGGAAATCAATCTACGAAGCGGGCTTGCTTAACGAAGGGATCGGGAATGGTATGCACGGGCAACTCTTAGCTTGTTTCTTCGCTTCTGAGGCTAAATATTGGCATTTTTGTATTTTGATAAGCATACGTGGTGGCTCAGTGGCTAAGACGCTGAGCTTATTGATCAGAAATGTCGGCAATTCAGAGGTTTGAATCTCTAGCCCTGTGTAATGGAGTGAGCTCCTGTTACTGTTACTGGTCCCCGCTTCTGCCAACCTAGTAGTTCGAAAGCACTTTAAAAAATGCAAGTAGAAAAATAGGAACCACTTTTGGTGGGAAGGTAACAGCGTTCGGCGTTGAGTCATGCCAGCCACATGACCACGGAGACGTCTTCGGACAGCGCTGGCTCTTCGGCTTTGAAACGGAGATGAGCACTGTCCCCCTAGAGTCGGGAACAATTGGCACATATGTGCGAGGGGAACCTTTACCTTTACTTTAAGCATAAGCCTGCTGGGGGCACTC